GCGCCCGCACTTACAGCGTCGAGCATTTGAGCCTGACCTTGGCGCATCCCGAAGGTTCTTACGTCCCGAGGGCGCTCTGGCCCGGAGGTCTTCACGGTCTTGCGGCCCTCCCTGGCTTTCCCTCCTGCCTCCCCTTCCCACTGTGTCCGATTGGCTTCCGACGCGCCCCGCCGATAACCGACCACCTGCTGGATCCGGCCCGCCGCTGATCAAACTGTTTTCCTCTCGCCAGTTCGCGGGCGAGCGGTAGCGGCAGCGGGGCTGCGCGAGAACTGGCGACATGTTGTTATCGCCGAAACGCCGCGCAGAGTTTGGCGGAAGTGTTGTTCCAGCGCGGCGCATGCTTCGTCGCAATCGCGCTCGTCGGAAACTTGGCCGCGCGAGATTGGGCTAAATCGTGCTCTCGCTGTATGGCCGCGCAAGGACTTTCTAGAAGTTCCGCTCCCGCCCGAGCGCGGCCCGTGTTTTTTCCCCTCCCGCCGAGTCGTCGGAAGCGAGACCGCGCGCGAACGCTTTCTGTTCTCCGAGGGCGAGCGCGAGCCAGTTCCAACGTCAAGCTGTGCCACCATGTGTGCTTTTATGTTGCGAGTGGGAGGGTGGGAATGGGCGGGGCCCGCTGGCTCGCTCGATCTGGCTGACCAGATCTCCCCTCCCACTCCTGCTGCTCCTCGTCCTCCTTCCCCTCTCCCTCGCCCCGCCTCGTACAATCCGAGTGCTCGTCCGCTATCCCTGGCTGGAGGCGCTCCTTACTCCCACCCCAAGGGGGAGAGAGAGAGAGGGAGAGAGAGGGAGACTGGGTGCGAACGTGCGCGAAAGACAGAGAAAGCCACTTGAACACTCGGCGCTGACAGCCCCACGTGGTCTCCCCGAACCGCCCGCCCTGCGCCCCAGGACCTCTCGCTCCCGCCTTAAGCAACTGGGATCTCAGGGCCGGCCACCCAGCGAATGGGTGTTATGTTCCAGCTACCCCACGTAACCTCGAGACTCCCTCAGAGAAGGTGGGCCCGATGCTCGTTGCACAGTGGCCTGGTGGGCCGGGTGAATGCTCACAGGCTCTGGCCCGAGGGCGGTCGCGTCTCGGTGCGGGGCTGTAGCGCCCCCCACGCGCGCGCGACGCGGCGCCGGCCCCGCCCTCCCTGGTGCATGGGCCTGCGCTGAGGATGCCAACGATCGCAGCGGCGGCCCCGGCGGCCCTGAGAGGGGCATGACCGAGCCGGCCAGCCGTGCAGGAGGAGCTCCAGCTCAGGGACCGGCGGACGCGGGCCGCCCCGGCTTCGCCACGTGCCAGCTCGTGTCATGGGTCTCCCACGAGATCGTGCAGGAGCCCCTGCACGCGCTCGTGGTGCAGGCGCGCTTCGCCCACGTGCTCGACCGCGCAAGCCTGAGGGGCGACGCGGAGATCCTTGGGACCCTGCTGTGCGGCGACCTCGCCTGCGCGAGCCTGCTGGAGCCGCCCTGGGCAATGGTCCCGGAGGGATCCCACGTGAGGCACAAGCACCATCAACTTCGGGAGGGCAAGGTCGAGCTGCAGAGTCACGGCTGGCTGCTCTGCAGCCACCCGCGGCATGGGGATTTGCTGACGCGCGTGCCACCGGACTGGGCACGACAGCGCTTCGAGGAGGGTGGCTTCCTGCAGCTACCTCACGCCGACACCCTGTGCGCCAAGCTCGAGCCCCACACGCCAGCGACGGCTGCGACAAAGGTGCCGCGCGCAGGCTTTACCGTGAAGGTGGTAGCTGCGTACGGGGTGCCGTGGATCGTGGAGCACGAGCAGGTGGCGGTGAGGCGGGAGCCTTCCGCAGCAGCCGAGCTGCTGGGGATCATGGTCAAGGGCGACGTCGTCGGCGTGAGCGGCTGCCGTGGCGACTGGGTCGAGCTCGCCAGGGACTCGGAGGTGCGCTGCAGTCGGCCAGGCTCGGGCGCCCTCGCGGTGAACCTCGGCGCTGTGAGCCCCATCCGCCAGACAAGCGCCCCCTGCCCCACCAGCGGGCCACGGGCGCATGGCGATGGCGGTGCAGCGGTTTTCGAGGATGCGCCAGCTGCTCAGGCCTGGATGATGAAGCGGCACCCCAAGCTCGGCCAGCTGCTGCGCAGGATGAGCAAGCCGAAGGGCGGCCTCGGGGAGAATTGCGTGGCCAGCGAGGCCAGGCGTCGGCTGTACAGCGAGGTCGTCGGCATCTGCTATCGCAGGATCTACGAGGAGAACCTGCAGAGCCTCTGGGACGGAGAGCGGGACAAGCTTCCCTCCCGCGAGTCCTTGGAGACCAAGCTGTTCGACGACAGCGCCTCCATCGTCCACGTCGCCGCCGCTGGAAGGCTAGCAGGCGGTGCCATCGTCAGGCGATTCTCGGTCCGAGCCCGCCAGGTGGTGCAAGGCAACAGTCATCTGAATCTGCAGGGCCCCATCTCAGACCTCGATTGCTGTATCGGCCGCACCACGATAGGCTACATCGACTCCTGCGCCGCAGAGGCTGGGCTCCGAGCAGGGCGAACGATCTGGGCCACCCTCTCGGCCATGCGCTGTGTGTGCCTGGCTTGCCATTCCATTCTCCTGCAGCAGACCGTCGACTTCTGGCGGTCGTGCGGAATGCGCAAGCTGGACCCAGCTTGCGAGAGGGATTGCGAGGAGTTCAGGAAGCTCATCATGGTGCGCACGGCTGGCAGGGTGGTCTGCGAGCTCGCCGACGTTGTCCGGGAGCTGCCACCGAGCCACCTGCCGCTCTTCGTTTGGGTCTCCGCCCAGTACCTGGAGGACGTGGACGGCCCTCACGCTGGCTACGTCTTCGCCCCTGATGACGACAGCGACGCCTGACTCCCGAGGGCGGCGATTCCCCAACCCGGACCTCGACGTCGCGATGCTTCGCGACGTGGGCCCCCCGGAGCTCTCGGCTCTCGACCCCGTCCCCGAGGCGATGTTCTTCTGCTGCGGGCCGCTCTTCCCCAGCTGGGCTTTGCCTGAGGGCTTCCTGCTTCGGTCGCGACGTCGGCCTCTAGAGGCGGTGCCCGGCGGTGCTCGGGTTCCTTGGTCTGGGCCTTGGTTCCGTGCCGCCTTCCTCGGCCATGCAATGCCAACCAGGGCAAGGCCAGCCATAACAATGTCAAGCAGTGTTAATCAATGCCAGGCAGCGCCAAGCCATACCAAGCAATGCCAAGCAATGCAAATGAACGCAAAGCAACGCCAAGCATTGCCGCCAAGCAATGCCAATCATCAATTCCACGCGATGCCAGGCAACACCAAGCAGCGCACAGCGATGCCGATCATTGCCGAGCAATGTTTCGCATTGCACTACATTGCTTTGCATTGCTCAGAACTGCCTTGACTTGCTCTGGACGCTCGAAGATCCCTGGTTTGGGTCGCGCCAGGTTCATCCGGCGGCCCCAGGGCCCGAGAGTGGCTCCAAGTGGCCGCAGCGGCGGAGGCACACACACACACATGCCGGTCGTGCTGCCCCCGAGACGCCGGAGGTCGGGGTCTGGGCGGCCTGCCTCAGCAGCTCACCCCGGCCGAGAAAGTTCCAGACTCGGGCTTGCCGCCCTGGAGTCTCTCGGCGGCGCGCCAGAAGGAGGAAGGAGGGGGAAGGGGAGGGGGAGGAGGAGAAGGAGGAGGAGGAGGAGGAGGAGAAGGAGGAGGAGGACCAGTGTAAACCAAAGAGTCATCAGCGATGATGGAACTAACCCTCCCTCCAAGCTCCCTCTTCACAAGCCCCTACAACGGTTCATTTCCATTGAGGGAGCTGCCTAGTTGGAAGACACCCCGGAAGATCCTGAAGCATGCCAAAACATTGTCTTCGGGACTTCAACGCAACGGATCAACCTGATTGCTGCGTCTTGACGATCTAGAACCGTGCCAGAACGCCATTTTTGGGACTTCAACACCGCGAATCTATATACTTGCTGCACCCGCATAATCTTGAATCCTTCCAGAACGCCATTTCTGGTACGTTGATCATGGGAATCCGTGAAACTCTTCCAAATGTTATGGACGAATGTGCGCGGCGCTAAGGCGAGAGCCACGTTTTGTAAAGGAACCACCCTCAATTCGTGAAGCTCTTGCAAATGTTTAATACGAATGTGCGCGGCGCTTACGCGAGAACCCCATTTTGAAAGCGACACGCCCTCAATCCGTGGAACTCTCTGCAATGTTCCAAGGAATGTGCGCGGCGCTCAGACGAAAGCCACATCTTGAAAAGGAACCGCCCTCAATCTGCGAAACTATTTCCCAACCATCCTGTGGTGTTGGGTCCTCGTTTTGAAGAGACGGTGCCCCGCGTTCCCGCCTCCTTCCTCCCTCCCTCCTCCCCCCTCCTCCCCCTCCCACACCCATTTCGGTACACCCTTCACACGTTTCGTTGCCCCATTGGGAGCTCCACCGACGGCCCCGGTGGCTGCGTTCGCTTTTGCGGCGCATGCGGTTCCACTCCCCATTTCGGCACACCCCTCACACGTTTCGTGGCCCCGTAGGGAGCTCCACCGAAGGCCCTGGTGGCTGCGTTCGCTTTTGCGGCGCATGCGGTTCCACCCCCCATTTTGGCACACCCCTCACACGTTTCGTGGCCCCTTAGGGAGCTCCACGGAAGGCCCCAGTGGCTGCGTTCGCTTTTGCGGCGCATGCGGTTCCACTCCCCATTTCGGCACACCCCTCACACGTTTCGTGGCCCCATAGGGAGCTCCACCAAAGGTCCCAGTGGCTGCGTTCGCTTTTGCGGCGCATGCGGCATTCGGTTCCACCCCCCATTTCGGCACACCCCTCACACGTTTCGTGGCCCCATAGGGAGCTCCACCAAAGGTCCCAGTGGCTGCGTTCGCTTTTGCGGCGCATGCAGTTCCACCCCCCATTTTGGCACACCCCTCACACGTTTCGTGGCCCCATAGGGAGCTCCACCGAAGGCCCCAGTGGCTGCGTTCGCTTTTGCGGCGCATGCGGTTCCACCCCCCATGTCGGCACACCCCTCACACGTTTCGTGGCCCCATAGGGAGCTCCACCGAAGGCCCCAGTGGCTGCGTTCGCTTTTGCGGCGCATGCGGTTCCACCCCCCATGTCGGCACACCCCTCACACGTTTCGTGGCCCCATAGGGAGCTCCACCGAAGGCCCCAGTGGCTGCGTTCGCTTTTGCGGCGCATGCGGTTCCACCCCCATGTCGGCACACCCCTCACACGTTTCGTGGCCCCATAGGGAGCTCCACCGAAGGCCCCAGTGGCTGCGTTCGCTTTTGCGGCGCATGCGGTTCCACCCCCCAATTTCGGCACACCCCTCACACGTTTCGTGGCCCCATAGGGAGCTCCACCAAAGGTCCCAGTGGCTGCGTTCGCTTTTGCGGCGCATGCAGTTCCCCCCCCATGTCGGCACACCCCTCACACGTTTCGTGGCCCCATAGGGAGCTCCACCGACGGCCCCAGTGGCTGCGTTCGCTTTTGCGGCGCATGCGGTTCCACCCCCAATTTCGGCACCACCCCTCACACGTTTCGTGGCCCCATAGGGAGCTCCACCAAAGGTCCCAGTGGCTGCGTTCGCTTTTGCGGCGCATGCAGTTCCACCCCCCATTTTGGCACACCCCTCACACGTTTCGTGGCCCCTTAGGGAGCTCCACGGAAGGTCCCAGTGGCTGCGTTCGCATGCGGTTCCACCCCCCATTGCGGCACACCCCTCAAACGTTTCGTGGCCCCATAGGGAGCTCCACCGAAGGCCCCAGTGGCTGCGTTCGCATGCGGTTCCACCCCCCATGTCGGCACACCCCTCACACGTTTCGTGGCACCACAGGGAACTCCACCGACGGCCCCAGTGGCTGCGTTCGCATGCGGTTCCACCCTCCATTTCGGCACACCCCTCGCACGTTTCGTGGTCTGAGGCGGAACCACCGAATGCCGCAGCGGCAGGTTCGGCATGTCGGTGTTGCCCCATGTCTGTACACCCCTCACACGTTTCGTGGCCCCATAGGGAGCTCCACCGAAAGCCCCAGTCTCAGGGTTCGCATGGCGGCCTTGGGCCATGTCGGCACACCCCTCACACGTTTCGTGGCCCCATGGGAGCCCCACCGATGTCGCCCGTGGCAGCATCCTTCATGGTTCTCAGAGCCCTCTCCTGCTTCTGATCCTCGGTCAGGGGGACGCCGTCCTCGTCGTCGTCCGCGCCCGCGAAGACGGCCACGAACGTGTCCCTGAGCATGTTGGGCCCCGGCGGGGAGCCGTGGCTACATAGGGAGCGCGGGCGAAGATGGTATTCACAATTGCGGTATTCACAACTGCGTATGGTTGGGTCCTTCGCCAGGCTAATTCAATTTTAAACGAAAGTGCGCGGCGCCAAGGAGAGAGCCACATGTTGAAAATGACCCGCCCTCAATCGGTGACACCTTTGCGAATTTCTAAAACGAATGTGCGCGGCGCTAACGCGAGAGCCACATTTTGAAAACCATCCGCCCTCCATCTGTGAAATTGTTGTCACATTGTAAGTTCCAGAGTCATACATGGTGAGGAAGTCTCGGGCGAAACGCCCAGACCGCCCTAAACATTGGCCCCGGAGTGCGACAGGGAGAAATTACTTATGAGGAAAAGGAGGGGGAGGAGGAGGAGGAGGAGGAGGAGGAGGAGGAGGAGGAGGAGGAGGAGGAGGTCGGCGAGGAGGAGGGCGGCGAGGAGGAGGAGGAGGAGGAGAAGATTGGGAAGGAGGAGGAGGATGAGGAGGAGGAGGAGGAAGAGCAGGAGGAGGATGAGGAGGGGGAACGGAGGAACCGAGGAACGGAGGGAGGAACGGAGGAATGGTGGAACGGAGGAACGGAGGAGGAGGAGGAACGGACGAGGAGGAGGAAGAGGAGGAGGATGAGAAGGAGGAGGAGGAGGAACGGAAGAACGGAGGAACAGAGGAACGGAGGATGAGGATGAGGATGATGATGATGATGCTGATGATGATGATGATGATGATGATGATGATGATGATGATGATGATGATGATGATGATGATAATATTGATGATGATGATGATGCTGATGATGATGATGATGATGAGGATGAGGAAGAAGAGGAGGAGGGGATGAGAAGGAGGAGGAGGAAGAGGAGGAGGAGGAGGGGGAAGAGGAGGAGAAGGAGGAGGATAATGATGCGGAGGAGGAAGAGGAGGATGGGGAGAGGGGAAGGAGGAGGAGGAGATTGAAGGCGAGGAGGAGGAGGAGGAGCAGAGGGAGGAGGAAGAAGATGATGATGCTGATGATGATGATGCTGATGATGCTGATGCTGATGATGATGCTGATGCTGATGATGGTGATGATGGTGATGATGACGATGATGCTGATGACGATGATGATGCTGATGATGATGCTGATTCTGATTCGGATGATGATGATGATGATGTTGATGATGATGATGATGATGATGATGATGATGCTGATGATGCTGATGATGGTGATGGTGATGGTGATGGTGATGGTGATGGTGATGGTGATGGTGATGGTGATGATGTTGTTGATGATGATGATGATGATGAGGAGGAGGAGGAGGAGGAGGAGGAG